GATGGAGGGGAGGATGGAGGGGAGGGGGAAGAAAGGAGGGGGGGATGAGAAGGGGGAGGAGGAAGGAGGCAGGAGAGGGGATGGCAGGGGTGGCAGTGAGAATAACACCACGTTCCCCAGCTGGACCCAAAGGTTTTGGGGCAGCTGAAAGCAGAGCTGATGGGATTCACCCCCCCCCCATTTCAGTTCCATCAGTGTGGAACCGTAACAAAAGCAGGCTGGTGCATCCCTGTGACACCAACACACACCAACACACACCAACACACACCCACCGTGACACCAACACCATCAGGTTGCTCTCCTTGTCCACGCGGTAGCGCCGTACGTACACGTAATCCCTGGAGTACATGGGGTACTGGAACAGAATGGGGGTCAGCCCCACGGCAGGGGGGGGTCAGCCCCATAGCAGGGGGGGGGTCAGGCCCAGGGGGGGCTTTGGGATGGGGTGGGAGCTCACCGGGAAGTGCGTGACCCAATGGATCACCTCGGATCCGGTGGCTGCATCCCTCTCTATCACGTCCAGTTTGATGACCAACGAATCCCACTTCTTCCTGTATTCGGTGTCCAGCTGGCAAGAGCACAGCAAAGCCAACGTCACAACCAACGGCAGCATTATGGGATGGCAACCGGCCCTGGCCTCCGTCCTGGGGAAACACACCTCATCGCAGCCAGGGTTTGGAACTCCAAGAAAGTAAAGCCCTGTGGGGCAGCAGGAGGGGCAGGGAGGGCAGAAACGTGGAGCAGCGTTTTGCTTCCAGCTCTGATGAGCTGTGAAACCTGGCAGGGCTGCTTTGTGCCATCCAGGGGACCGAGGTGGCATCCCCAAGGTGACACCCCCAAGGTGACACCCCCAAGGTGACACCCCCAAGGTGACACCCATCCCCCCCACGGCTCTGGGGCAGGACTCCTTTCCCCCCCCCACACCCACCTGCACGTTAAAGAACTGCCTGGGGGTCACATCTGTGTACGTCCCAAAAACTGCAATGGAAAAGAGAGCTGTCAGGGATCAGCCCCACATCTGGTGGGCTTCTCAGGGCACAGCAGGGCTGGGGGGGGAACTGGGGAAAAGGGGGGGGTCACCTCGGTACTGGTAGAGATGTGTGCCTTCGATGGGACGTCGCCACAGCTTGAATTGCTTCTTATCCATCACCATCTCCCAGGGCTGCTCGCCGGGGGCTGACACGGCATCCCGCTCTGAGGGGGGGTCCAAGCGGGGGGGGGGCTCACCCAGAGCAGCCCCCTGCAGTGGGACGGCCAAGTTCTGCATGCGCTGCATCTCCTGGGCTGAGCTGGGAGTTGTGGGGGGAGGGGGGAAGAAAAGCAGCAGTTGGCAACGGGACCTCAGCAGAGGTGGGAGGAGCTCAGCCAGGCTGGACGTGGCCCTGGGCAACCAGGTTTGATAGGGGGCAAACAGCCCACGGCATCAGGATTGGAACCATGGGGTCTTTAAGGCCCAACCCCCCCCACCAGCTCAGCCATCCAGCAGCTGCCCCACTCTTCGTGCATTGAGAGGAACCAGGAGCACCGCAGCACAGGGCAGCTGCGTGCAGTGCCTGCAGGGGAAGCACCCGAAGGAGGTGGCTGAGGGAAGGAGCACTTCTCCCCCAAGTGGAGACGTGACAAATGAACCACAGAACGGCCTGGCTTGCAAAGGAGCACAACGCTCATCCAGTTCCAACCCCCTGCTGTGTCCCAACCAGCAGCCCAGGCTGCCCAGAGCCACATCCAGCCTGCAGGGATGGGGCATCCACGAACCCCAACGGGACGCATGGAGCAAAGCGGTTCTGCTGCCTGAGCAGAAGCCACCCGGGGTCACTGGGGGGCACTGAGGGCTGGGGGTGGGGAGCATCGGGGATCCCTGAGGTGTTTCTCCAATTGGAATGCTTCTGAGGCTCTGGGAATGAGCCCGTCTGTAAGGCAGAGCAGCGCTGGGGTGGTGCTGAGTCAGTGCAGGAGCTGTGCCTGAGCACAGCAGCCAGAGGGCACGGCTTGGGGGGGGGGAAACAGAGAAACTAAAGGCAGCAACCAGAGATGGGGGGGCAGAGAGCAGAGGTTGGAGAACCCCACATAACCACACCAAAACCCCAAAACCCCACATAACCACAGCTCCACCAAAACCCCAAAACAAAAGTGTGGAAGGGACGGACTCAGCCATTCCAGCCCAGAGCCCTCAATCACTCCCCCTCCTCCCCCCTTCAGCCACCTCCGTGCCCCCCGAGATGTAATTACACGACAGCAATTAGCACAGCCCTAACGAACGCACTGATCCACCTGCACGTTTCCCTGCACACCCCAAGGAAGACACACAGCCCCATGATTTATGTCACAGGGGGCTGCACTCCTCAAGCGGCTGACGGTGGCATCGCTGGGGTGAAGGGGCAGCTTCGTTAAGCTGCGGGTTTAATTAAATATCAGCTAAGCTCCTTATGGCAATGCCACATCCTCAGAGCACAGCAGGACCTGGGAGCAAAGAGAAGGACAGCGCAGCGCTGCCCCACAGCACCCAATTAAGTTTTAATTACCTGCCCTGACTCGTCTCTCCCCCGTGCACAACAATTAGGCCTAAATGACACCTTGATGTCTGCAAGAAGCAACCACAAAGCTGCCGTCCATCCTCGTCCCACAGCGTCGGTTTGGGGGCAGCAAACCCCCATTTCCTCGTGGAAGATTCCAACCAGGGGGATTTGGGGTGGAGGGGGGGACCCTACAGCCCCACTGATGCCATAGAGGTGCTGGATTTGGGGGAGATGAAGGCACAACCCTTCTGGTTGCAGGCGATCCCTGAGGGTTTGGGGTTAAACCAACATCTGGGGGGCGTCCCCAAGGGTTGGGGTGTGGGTACAGCCCCACAGCAGCAGGGCAGCCCCATCGCTTTAAGGGTGGCTATGGGGTTTTGGGGTCACTCCCAGGCACGGGGGATACCTGTAGGCATAGCAGGTCTGGGGGTGTCTGTGAGGGATTTGAGGACCTGGGGCTGCGGGGGGAGCAGCCCGAGGGTTTTGGGGGGGAGAATTAAATGAGGGGGGCTGCGGGGAAACAACCTGAAGGTCTGGAGCCCCTCAGCCCAGCACAGGGAGCGGGGATCACCACGAAGGATTTGGGGGGGGTTTGGGGGAACCCCGTGATGTGGGGCTGTGGGGGAGGCTGGGGGTTTGTGCCTGGATTTCGGGGGCACACCGAACCGAGGGGGTGAGGAAGGAGCAGGGGACGCCCCGCAGGGGTGTGGGGGTACCGCGGGGTTTTGGGGTTTTACCCGGCGCACTCGGAGGGGACGCGCTCAGGGCTACAGGGGGGAACCTGGGGTTACCTGCGAGCGCCCTCAGGGCCCAGTGACGGAAGTCGGGGTTGGGGGGGGGCGCTCAGGAGACCCCACACTATGGAGGGGGAGGGGAACGGGGGGCGGCACTCACCGCTGCAGCTCCTCCTCCTCAATGCGCTGCCCGTCCCAGACGAAGACCCCGGCCAGGGTGGCCATGAGGCGGCCGGCGGCGGCGGCGAGGGCGGGGCGACCGCGGAACGGCCCCCCCCCCCCCCCCCCCCCCCCCCCCCCCCCCCCCCCCCCCCCCCCCCCCCCCCCC